CCCCACCGACGCCGTAGGGCTGCTGCTTGACCTGCCTCTCAACAATGACATAAGTGACATAACACATTATATTCAAAGCTTTAATATGAATGCTAAACAGTATTATACAGAGTATAAAATAACCACAGAGCACAGTATGTATCATCACACTATGTTTAATGAACTTCTGTGCACCTCCGTATCTCCAACTGTACCCCTGTGCCCCCAGCATGTCTCTATGTGCCTGTGTACAGTATCTCCATGTGCATCCCTGTGCCACCAGTGCATCTCCAAGTGTGCCCCCAGCGTGGCTCTAAGCACTTTAGTATCTCCAAGTGTACCTCTGTGTGCCTGTCTGTAAGTGTCCACAGTTATCACACTGAGAAGAGCCCCTTCCTGAGCTACGATCCTCCGTCTGTGCCCCCGATCCAGCCGCCAGAGACTCTGTACTGTAGCCCCGTGGAGTTGTAGAGAGGCCACCTGCATATCCTTCCATAGCTGAGATCTGCTGAGGAAGGATATGCTAGACGGCGCCATAATGTATTATTACAGCACAACACATTCGAACTGTGAAAAATATATATTATGAACATTTGTTTTTGACATTTTTCTCCAAATTTGAATGTTCACAGATATTGGCAAGGGGCAAAAGGCCCTGCAAACTGTCTATATACTGTATAAACCCCAAAGAGTCAAGTAAGAATGCACAGGGTTGTTGTAATTAGAGAATGGTTATTCAACGCTGAGTATATCTTTAAATTAAGCATGTCACCAAAACGAATAAACGGCAGCATACCTTCAGCCTTGTTTCAGTATGTAAATTATGACTTCTCCTGGTAAAGTCAAGCTTAGCCCTGCCCCCTCCTGCACCTTCCATGTCTCACTATTGCCTCATCACTGTGATGGGGGAGACACAATGACTTCAAGTAAAGCAAGGTTAAATAATTATTACAAGATGTTTTTTGGGTGAAAGCATTTGAAATCTTTATTGACACACAAGATTAAAAAAAACATAACATACACAATAAGGAAAAGATTTATTATTGACACAGACCTGACGTAGTAAATTTTACATATGAAATCTAACAATTTATAACACAATAAGGGGAATTCATCAACACTAAAGCAGACAAAATCTGGAACGGCTGTGCATGGCGAACAATCAGCATCTTTCTTTCAATTTCAAACCTTAACTGAACAAACTGAAGAGAGAAGCTGATTGGTTGTCATGCACAACTGCTCGAGATTTTAATAAATTCCCCTCATTTTGTTAGGAGGTGTGTCTGCTCCGGTTTTGATAAATTTCCCCCCAATTTAGTAAATATTATAGTTCCTATAGCAAAATAGATCTACTGTTTATGTATTAAAGGAGAACTATGAGATGAGTGATTTCCACTCCTCCTCATAGTTCTAGCCGACCTGTGACAATGAGACTGTCACAGGTCGGCTCAGTAGATCGGGAGGTGAGCAAACAGATACTGGCGTTCGCTCACCTCTCGATCCTGTCACGGCTCTCTGCCGTGACAGGGGAGGGGCTGGATTCCCCCCCCCCCCCCCCGATAGGCCAGCGCTGACTGGCGGAACGGACGGGGGAGGGGGCGGGTACAGCTGGCTCTACCTCTAGATAGGCAGAGCCAGCTGTCACTCACGCAGCTGGGTGGATCTCGTCATCGATGTCTGGATCCGCTTCTGCTGCGGCGTCTCAGTATACTGAGCTTAGGGTAATGGGAGGACGCTAGTTTGTGTCCTCCCATTACCCTAAGGAGAACTATGGGGAAAAACACTGACCCCATAGTTCTCCTTTAATCATGTAGAAATGTAGTCTGCCACTTGGGGGGGACCATCTGTACATTGCTATGTGCCCAAAAAAAGGTTCATGTGTGATCTCGGATCAGGTTAGGTTAGAATATGAACGAGATCAGTGTACATGGGAGACATATTCACCAATCTCGCAGCTCAGCATCCTGACGAGAGCATAAAGACAGGAAGCTGAGCTTGTATGTGGTAGCATGGTTGGGGATAGGGTTGCCACTTGTCCAGGATTCACCCGGACAGTTCGGGTTTTGAATGCTGTGTCCAGGTTTCATGGCACAAGGAACCCGGACACAAGATGTCAGGTAGACAGGGGCAACCAAAATTAAGATAGGGGCTACTAGCCCCCCACTAAAAATAGTCTCAACTGTGATATTTACATATTAATGGGTGTTTCCTTTTACATATGAATAAGCCACAAAAAAAATATGTCCACGTGTCGCTAGAGTGTTCGGGTTTCGCTTGAAGAAAAGGTGGCAACCCTAGTTGGGGAAGGGGGCGGCAGCATGGGGTGGATCATGGGCAGCTAGTGCAGGCACTTACATTTCTGGTAGACTCTTGAGCCAATTAGCAGACTTTGCTTTAGACTCATGGTTATAGAGCGTAGCACAGACACCATAAGACACCAATAAGGTTACTGACTCATGGTGCTTCCAACGGTTCTGCTCCACCATAGCCATCATTGCCAGAGCATTAACAAAAGTTAAACTGATTAAAAATTTGCAAATATGTTAAAAGCTACATTGGTTGGAGCAATGCGGATCACAGATTGCAATACATTAACTTACAAAATACCCATTAAATGTATTTCTAAGGATCCAGCTAAGGGTTATGAAAATGCATTGATGTATTCTCATATATTTATTTACAAAATCAGTCGGACCCACTGCCAAGGGGATGCTAATGTTAAAACTTGCACTTTTGGGGCCCCAGGCAAAGTCACGGAGAGTCCCTCACCCCTTAGTCTGATCATTTTCAATAGACTCGGATATCCCCTTTAAAACTGTGCTCGAAGATCTCATTGTCGGGTTTAAACTAGAGTTGAACTTTGTACGTCCTAACAAAAAGTTAAAGATCTCAAGGTTTGGCTGGTACATTGAGTATGTTAATGGACTTTAAAAAAAAAACATGTCCCTAAGTGTGTCCCTTATCTGCACATCTATTCAAAGCCATAGAAGCTGGCCTATAGAGTCCTATGTATAATCATACTGCAAGGAAGCACTTCAAAAAAAGTAAGACATTGTAAAAAAAATAAAAATATTTAGGAATGCTGTGTGAGTGGGAACACCAAATGGGGTCAACACTACACTGGGGGAAAAAAGGACAAATTTATTGACCACCTGAGGTCACTTTTGAAGGTTCATTAGATTGACTGACCTGGCAGTGAAAGGGTTGCCCATACCATAGTCTTGTGTTGGAGATCATATTCCAAAAACCGTGGGTATCAGAAAGGTGTGATGGTCAGCTGTCCACCAATGTTTGGCCATAGGTTGTATTTCTTGCTGTATTAATTTTGGATTGTAACCTTGGAACCTTTAAATATGTAGAAGGCAGCATGCAGGGGTCTAGTGAAGGTGGTGGTGAAGGTGTGGAGGTGTCTGATAGGGTCACAAAGCTGGTAGAAAGACAGACGGCCAGTGCTATATTCCAGGAATATCGCAAATGCCCGCACAGGGGAATCTGTGGAGATTTTTGTTTTAACATGATTGTGCCACACACTGAGCTTGCTCTCCACACTGAGGCTCCAGGACCTTGTGTTGTAACCAATGCGTGAGTCATATCTTGTTGTCTTCCTGTCTATATTATCATAGGCCACCCCAATGCTACATTGCGTCCCCTTCACATCCACTTCCCAGTAGTGATTCCCCGATAAGAATCTGCACTCACTTAAAACATGGCGGGATCGAAACCTCTCTGGACCAGCAGCTCTAGCCTGGCGTTTTGCACTATAAAAGGCAGTTCTGAGATTGTTTTTTATAAGAATGTTACAATGAGCTGTCTTCATGTCAAATGTGATCTTTGACTTCTTCATCTTCGGAAAGGCCTCCTTTAGCATCTGGTTATTCAGACTGTCAGCAAAGGTTAAGAGTTCCTGGTGCAGCATGACTGAGATTGGTGTTTCGTCGAGTATAGGACCACTTTCTATGCTAGGTTCAACACTGAAGACCCCGATTAGATCAGTGTCCAGGATCTTCTTCAGGAAAGTCGATGGATCTTTTATTTTCAGTAGCTCCTGGAAATTGTCAATCTTCTTGGATATCTCTTCCTTCTGCTCCTCCATCATTTTTTTCCAATCAGCGATTGAGCCTGAAAATTCTGTTGTGTGTGCAGTTAGGACCTTGTCCTGAAGAGCGTCCAGTTCTTTCTTGAGTTCTTGGATTTGGTCAATTACTCTTTTGCTGGCAGCATCTATTTTCGCTTTCTCCTGACCCTGCAGGCTATTGATCTGAGTGTCAATTGTCTGTCTTTTT